CCCCCAAGGACAGGGATTAAGAAGGGGGCCGGGAGAGAAGGCCCCAGAGGCAGGAGTCCCCCCAGGGCAGGGGCTAGCCAGGGGCTCCCGGCCCCTGCACTCACCGTGAAAGGCAGGGAGCAGACGATGAAGGTGATGGTCATGATGGCCAGGAGGATGAGGTGATCCACCTCCTCGGACATGGAGAGCCTGCGGCGCCCGGCGGGCTGCTCCAGCGAGGCCAGGCGGCGGGAGGTCTGCCCGCGGCGGTGCATGCCCACCAGGTTGCGGGTGACGCTCAGGTTGCAGAGCAGCACGGCCAGGATGAGCAGCAGCAGCAGCGTGGCGTAGAGCAGCGAGTAGGCGGCGTCCCAGCCGGCGGCGCCCTGGGCGGCGCGCATCTGGATGAAGCACCAGGTGCCCGGGCAGTACTGCACGGTGGCGCCGAAGCCCAGCCGCGGCAGGGCGCAGAAGGCGGCGGCGAAGGCGTAGAGGGCCAGCAGGGCCAGTAGCAGCGCCGAGCGGCGGCGCACGAAGCGCTCGTAGAGGTAGGGCTGGCCCAGGGCCAGGCAGCGCTCCAGCGCCATGGCGAAGAGCACCAGCATGGTGGCCAGGCCGAAGAAGCTCATGGCGAAGCCGAAGTAGAGGCAGAGCCGCCGGTCCTCGGCCAGCGCCACCAGCGTGCGGTTGCGGCCGTAGGAGGCCAGCACCACGGGGCTGACCAGGCAGGTGCCCAGCAGGTCGGTGAGCACCAGGACGGTCACCAGCACGTGGAAGAGGGAGAGCGGGCGGCCGCGCCGCCCCAGCCGGCGCCGGGCCAGGAGCGCCAGCGCCGACAGGTTGCCCAGCAGCCCGGCCGAGAACATGACGGCGCTGATGGCCGGGCTCTCCTCGGCCGACAGCGGCTCTTGGGTCTCGCAGTGCGAGGCGGAGCCGGAGCCGCTCATGGTGGCGCCCGCCGGCTGTCAGGCGCTGGGACCTGAGCGCGGCACCAGGCAGAGCCGAGCCGAGCCGAGCCGGCCCCTCGCCGGGCTCCCCCGGCGCGCAGCC